AACAAAGGCCTATTCACAAGATTTAAGTGAATTGCTGCACGACTTTCTTCTTCTATAACTTGATAAGAAAAATCACCAAGTGAGGAATTGAAGGCTTTTGAAAAGTTTTTGCTCTTTCATTACTCAAACTGATAAAGCAAGGAAGCTGTGATGTTAGTAAAGGTACAGCCAACTCTAAAAGACACTGGTCTGTGGGCTGAGGTGTTGAGAATAATCTTGTACTGAATGGCCTTGGTGTACTAAATCTTTAAGTCATGTATTACAATGAAATATGTTTTGAAAATACCTCTGAAGAAGTGTTGATAGCTGAACTTGTTTGAGTACTGCAAGACCTTTGGCTCTTTGAATGTTTTTACTGAGTTCAAGAAAAAGAAACTTATGATCTATACCAAAATCCCTGTCTCATTATTCATTTTAAGTGATCAACATGCCCAGTGAAGTTCAATTTTTAGCATATTTTTGTGCATCATGTAAGTAGAAAAGCTAGGCAAAGCATATTCACTGATGGGAGAAAGTTCTGCTGCATTATTAATGCTTAATAAATTTTCCCTTTATGTCTCTTCCTCCTTCCCTTCTTTATTTCTTTCTCTTTCTTCTAGGGAAGATAATGCAGTTTGTTCCTAATAATATAGTTTATTTTAACTTTTTTGTGACCTGGACAGAACTTTTGAATGAATCCGCTTGCTATTTTAGGCAAATTATCATTTATAAAATGTATGAAAGTACTTTAAGAACTACACAGTGCTTTGCAGTCTTGACATATCTATTCGTGGCTTTTGTTCTTAATTTTGGCATTTGTCTGCATGTTATTAATGTGATGACATTGGTGTACTTTGTGGTATAAACACAATGTTGCAATTGTTAGAATTTGAGATATGTAGATATTTGTCATATTCCATATTCTTTTTCTCTACCTTTGACAGTTACAATTTTGTAATTATATGGCGTGTATTTGTGTAGGTACACTTTATCTTTTACGTGTTTATTATGTACAAAATACATCATATTTCTCTATGATACTAAGTAAAAAGTTTGATACTTCAGTTGTGCCTGAAGGAGGTAATTACAGTCTGCTTGTTTAGATGATCTGGTCAGCTACCAATCTTCTTACATTATTGGAAACTTAGGAAAGCAACTAAGGACAAATATTTTAAATTCATATTGTTGCCTCAAAATGCTGAGGATATTTAGCCTTTTATAATGTACAAATATCTGTCCAGCTGTTCTCCTTTTCACAGTGGGTCAGTATAGAAAATGAAAATCCTTTTGGGTCAAGTTTAGGAAAGGGAGATTGTTTACCAGTTCAAACTGTGGGCGAAACAGTCTTGACTTGGAGAAAAATAATTTAATTTACTGCCAATTAAAATAGACTTGTTGAGTGAGAAACAAAAAAGCCAAACATTAAGACACCACTTTTCCTGCTTTTCTTCTCCACCATGATCTCTCTTTGGGTTGCAGGGAAATCTGTGCTCCATTGCTTGGAGTACCTCCTCTGACCTTGATATTCTCTCCATTGTTTCTCATTTTTTTCCACCTCCTCCTCTGCTTGCTCAGTGTTTTATCCCCTTTCTTAAATATGGCAGCCTTTAGACCTCACAATGGTCTAGCCTTGTTTGTTGGAATAAAATTTGTCAGTTAGTGGAGAGCATAAAAACTGGAGACTGATTGAAAAATGAATGTTCCCTTACTATGCTGTATAATGCAGTGTAATGTATCTTTACTAATGCTCTGTTAGTAAAGCATTATTTTAAGATTGAACATGGAAAATAGCATGCACTGCTTAAACTGACCATTTTATTACACAGCATAAGCTAACTAGGATTTTTTTTTCTGCAAGGCTTTTTAATACGATCATTAGAGAATACTGGTAAGTTATAGCAATTACAGTATGTTTCGCATTACTGCTTGACTGAACAAAATCAAGAAAATAGCAAAGTAGGTTATGAATTGCAGCAACCTATATTGGTTTTCTCTTGAAAATACAAAGCTTCTCATCCAATCTTTGCCCTCACTAATCTGATCCATAATGTTGAACTGGAAATGTGAATATTACTTTTCATAACAAACATTACAAGTGATGTGTGAGCTCGAATCTCGGTTTTTAAGATCTGGACCCAGATTTGATTTCAAGGACTGTTGATGAAGCTATTCTACAGCAGTTTTATCAACAAAATGAGACACTTTGTACACTTGCTGAGAAAGAAATGAGCTGAAAATATTCTACAGTTTTATCAGAAATGAAGCTTAAAATGTTATCTATAATGCAGCATAATGCTAACTAAATTAGTATTTCATAAAACAGTTTGATGGCACTTCTAATATACATCAAAAAGTACTTATATGGTTCTGCAAGTTGTCATGGGACTACTACTACATTTGAGTTATTTATCTACATTTTTTTCCCTCTTTTGCAAGGTTTTAGTACTTTTGTCTAGTATTTTATGATTTGAGCAGTTTCAAAGAGCCAAATTACTTGCTGAGACCATAGCAATCTGGTGGCAGCAGCAGGGAGACTGCCTTTAATTTTGCCTTGTCTGTGTGTGCTGTGCTGTGAAGCTCCAGCCTCCCCAGGTCCCACAGCACATGGGACTTCAGGACTCTTCCTGGAGTAATTCTGACATTTGCCAGCCTTCTGCAAAAGCAGATATTGGCACAGCTCTCTCATGAAATCACTCAGAAGTTTCAGCCAAATCAGTCTTAATTAAAGAACACATGCAATACAAACAAAAACTATGTGGCTAAAAATTGTTGGAGAGAATGAAGTGAAAGTGTTACAATACCACCATTAACCACTAGGAATTTACAGTCACTGTTCTCCACCTGATTTAATGGCTCTAGTCTGTGCTCCAGGGCCTTGTGTAATTTGAAAAGAATACAATCGAATTCACAGCAGAATAAAACAGTTATTTCTAGCCTGAAATATTTCTGAAATCTGAGAAATTTAAATCTCAACATAAAGCTTAAATGAAAGGTATTCTTTGAAGGTTTTTTTGTTTGTTTGTTTGTTTTTTTTGTTTTTCCAGAATTTGTAATACACTGCTTAACACATAAATCTACATTCCTGTGTTTTAATACAGTTCATATAGTTAAGAATAACCTCAAAGATTATCAACTTTCTGCTATTCTTTCTTCTGTAAGCAACTCCCCTTGCCCTGGAATGTGACTGTCTAAGCTAAGATTGTCACTGCTCAAACGCCACATAGCTGTAGCAACTCTTCCTAGCTTTAAAAACCTCTGAGGTGGCTAAGTATCCCTACCTTTGTAGAATGAACAAAAGAGTGTCAAGAACTGACATTTCTAGAGATACCTAATTTTAAAGACACTGTGATATGCCAAGCAGCCCCCATGACCTAAGGATTTAATATCTTCTTCAGGCAACTGTGTTTCCATATAAGGCATGGCACAGTGACTGCCTTGTGCTGTAAAATTAGAGAAGAGCACCAATTTTCACTGCAAGGGTGATTCTGTATTTATATTGAGTCTAACAGATTGTTATGTTCTGTGTTATGCAGTCTTTGCTTGTTCCATTGCTGTCTGTGCTAAAGGAAAATGAAGAAACAAAGACTGAAGAATTAGAAGTCACTTGAATTTTGAACCAAGCCCAGCAAAATCAGTTTGTTTCTTCCCTTTGCTTCCCTAAGGATTGAAATAGGTTGTAAGAGAACAAGTAGCTTTGTGAATAGTTTTAAGGAAATTAAAATGCCTTTCTGTTACAAATTAATTAGCTTCAAGAACAATGATAGGAAATAATTGCTTTTTAATAAAGTTTATATAGAGTCCCTAGGACTTAGTATTTAAATCCAAATCAGTTTGAAGACTATGTCATTACATTTCATTGTGGTTTTTTTTTTTTTTTTTTTTTTTTTCAAAAGACCAAATAAGGGGATCTCAATTTCAAAGGTTCAGCTGGAGCTGCACCAACTTTCTGAAATTGCAGAAGGTTCTTTATAATTTCTCCAGCCTCTCCTTCAAGGGTTAGAATAAAAATTTAATACGACAAAACTGTCATATGACAAAACTCAAACCTCAGTCATTAGAAAAATCTTTTGAGATGTTTCTAGTTGTATGTAGTATGCTTTAATGAGCATATTCTTTCCATTGAAATTCATGGTATGCTTTTTCTGCTATGTGATAATAGTATATTTTGTCAATACTGAAACTTAATTTGAAGGGAACAATGAAGGGAACAATGATATTTTGGCTATCAGTTATAGGTGAGTCTTTTTGACTTGCCATGTGTCACTGCAGAAGCACAGTAGCAAGATGAGATTCTCTTTTGAAATTTCCAATATACTAATATAGTTTTAAGGAGCCTTCTTTCCAGCAGGGACCTAATGTGCTCTGGAACTCCCTACACACTAAAAAGTACAAAAATAACTCCCAATTACTGAGGGCCTAATTCAGAGATCTCTGTACTTAGTGGGCCAATTTCCAGTGTCGTCAGTAAGAAACTACTAAGTTACATCATTTAAAGGCTGAACATGAGCCTAAGCATTGCTTTAAGAACTTTGTATAACTGCACCTGAAAGTAAAGATTAGATTAGATTCATTATTCTCCTTTTTAAAAATTTTTTCTTAATGTTAATGCATGTCAGTAGTGCTGGCTATGGAGCATGGAAATTACCAATTTCAAGCAGGAAAGGATTCCTGAAAGAAAGAAGTAGTAGAAAATAGCTATGAATTTATATGAGTCGTTAGAAGGGTAGGATGAAATCTTTTTAATCAAATCTGCTCAGACCATTGATTGAGCTGTACACCAATTTCAGAGGGCTAAGTTTATGTCTCAAATGAGAAGGTTATAAAAAAAATGAGTAACTTCAATGCATATCATTGTAATAAGCCACTAGGATTGTTTTGAACATAAATATGTGATAGATACAAGGATAATATGTGGAATACACATATCTGTATACATCTGTTCTTAACAGCCTCAGAAAATCATTCAACTTTCTTTTGTGCAGAGTACAGAGACTAGAAATAAAAATGAGTATTGTAGAATTCTTCTGCCATGGCAATTTCCTCTCTGCGGGATGTCTGAGTTTCCATCATAATGGAGAATGTGGGAGGTGAGCAAGGATTTCTACTTTTCAATCTGGTTAAAAAACACAAATACTATAACCGTGTACTTACTTATCTACTGTACTTTGATAAAAAAAAAAAAAAATCTGCATCTAAAATTTAAATATATACATTTCACTCTATATAATGGAGAGGGAAAATAATTTATTATTTTTAAGTAATCTAATCTGGTATGTATGAAAGAAGAGATAATATATATATTATAATATATAAAATATATTATATATATATATTATATAGTATATAATATATATACTATATATATATAATAAATTCTCACCTGATGCTTTCAGGTGTTGGCAGTTCTCATATATTTCATTATACAAAAGATATCTGATAGGGAAGAAGAAAAATAAAGAAGAAAATATTTTAAGCTTATTCTTTAACTCCTCAAACAATCAGTAAGAGATATATGCTTGACTGCTGAAATAGATCTACTGAACAACTTCTCTTGGTAAACATAAATGTATTCAAAAGACTTAAATCCTAGATAGGCTCTATTTCCAAGGATGAAATGTAGCTACAGCTAACATTCATCTTCCATATTGTTTTACATCACCATCTGCAACCATTTGTCTAAATTTTAAGATCTCCTCCCAGAAATCTGCAAAGAAACAAATAAAAAATTAACTATGAAAAAGGCTTTGTTTAAATCACTATATCACTTGATTATAAGCAATGCAGATAAGCAAAAAAGTCTAGAATCTTCACTCTAGATAGAAATGTTGAAATAATGCAAAGTTGTAACACTTTTTTTTAAAAACAAAACAAAGTAGTGATGCTGATTTATTTGTCTTAAGTTGTTTAGTGTGTCTGTGAATAACATTGAAGATGATATATTAAAATCTGATATTTAAAATCAATCAAATTTTAAAAATAACAAATTCATGCCAAGCCAGAACAGATGGAATTCAGGTATTTCAGTATAAGAGCATCCATCATTTTTTCTTTTTGGTAACAAATGATAAATGTTTTATTGGCTCTCTGAAAAAGCATGTATGTTTTTCAGAGACTAAAGTGGAGAGAACTGTGTTCTTCTGGACTGGAATCCATAAAACCCGAGTCAATCCTGAGGTCAAAAGATCCTTTATACAATTAAGGAGTAATTGACTATTTCTTTAACTGTCATGTCCTATAAGCTGATAATTCTTCCTTTTCTCCTGTGATTGGCACAAGAATAATTGTATTAATGTTTGTGAAGTAATCTTATAGAGAAGGGGTAGTGATTGCATGAGTGGAGAAATGAAATGAGGAAAAAAGTCAAATGGAAAATATCATCAAATTTGAACTGCTAAAAGATGAGACCCTGCAGTATTTTATTTCTGATACCATCCTTGCAGCTGACACTTCTGTAATATGGATAAGAATCTTTTATATCCTCCTATGGTAAACAGGTTCTCAAGGCAACATTTGCTGAAGAATTTCATATCCTTAATTTAATCATAAATTTTGTCTTTACGTTTTCTTAATAAAACGTGGAAAATACAAGAGCATAATGTGTTTACAGATAGTTCAAGAAAAAACCAACACCACACAGAGTAATATCCTATGCCTGCTTTTGAACAAATCTGATCTCCCAGTGAAAGTCAATTGGACATTGCGTGTTGAGATTGTGTATGACCCATACAAACACCGTGTGAATGTGTCTTTAATGCAATGAGTTTATGCTACAGAGAAAATAGAAAAGGTCATTAATATATTTTAAGTTTTGATTGTTTTCTCTTTTACATTATTTTCCTTAAGACAACAAAAATTACTGTGGTGATGGCTTCCATCTTATGGCCTAATAGTACCTAAGAAATGTGGATGTTTATGGCTTTATCATGGTGAAGCAGTTGTATATGAAATTGGGTAAATGCAACAGCAAAAGTAACAGTTAGATGGTGAACTACTAGAACTGCAAAGCTAATAACTCCCATTGAAGTGGGAAGAGAAAGTTTAGCAACTACTTGCAGCTGCTTGCATGGTTTGACCTTTACAGAACTAGGAACGAAATTCTTGTAGAATACAGCAAATCCAAAAGCCAGGCAGGCTGGGTGGAGATGGCAGTGATATTGCACTAGGAATGAAGGCGATAGTTAAAAGCAGGGACAATACTGGCATTGAAGATATGTGGGATTCATTCAGGGCCAAGTGCTGATGGTGCATTTGCTAGCATTACAGCACAGTACTTCGTGCACCTGGGAGCAGATCTCAGGCAGAGGAGCACATGGATGCCCACCAGATTTGTTTTCTTTACCCACTTTCCTTTAAGGTTTGTTCTCCTTACTCTCCCTTGACTGATAATTTTAGCTTCCTTTCTTGTGCCAGTAAAAGCCATTTGTACAACCACGTAGGAAACTGTTCTGGCAGAAAAATAATTTTCCGTGTAGAGTAATTGAAAAGATGTGTTGTTAGCTACATCACCTTCCTTGTCCAATCCGCAGCATCACCATTCAAATATTAATGCTGGCATAAAGAGTGGAGCAAAGATAACTGGGAGCCAGGCCACCTTACCCTAAAGCAGCAGGAAACATGTACTCTAAGTTAAACAGTAAGCATGACACACAAAGGAGCAAAACTTAATATAGTTTTAATTAAGAACTTGATATGTTTTACACACACTTGAGAGTGTGTTACTATTGGCTTCCATAGTAGTGGCCATTTTTGTCTTGATGTCTTATTGTTCTTAAAAATATGGTTCCCATAATAGTACTTTACAGAGAACCCTGAACAAACCAGAGTAGAAGTTTAAATTGTACTGTGTGAAAGTCCTACTCTGGTTTTCAATATGATCTTGAAATGTCTATGATGCAGACATGCTGCTTCCCTTGTGTTTGAAACAGAAACAATAATCATCACAGCTAATCATATCAGCATACAGTCAGAATGCAGGCACAGCTGTTAATTATGGGGCATTTCTGAAATTGGCTTTGAAATACCATATATAATTTTTGCTATAATTTGCATTTAAGATGTTGGTGAGATAAAGGCATTATAGTTGTTTTCTTTCTTTCTTTTGGTCTTTTTCATGGCATTTTGATCTAGTTAGATGTAATGTACTTTTTACTTAATTTCTATACTGGCTATATATAATTAAAAGTAGTCAGTTTCAGCCCACATCATGTCAACTTTTCTTGCTATATTATGGGAATATTACCTGAGCAATAAATAGGTTTCGTGAATGGAGCATTTATGCTTTATGAGTCCATATATAAAAATCCAAATATGTGCACATATTCATGAATTGGATCTGACCTGCTATGTCCTGATGCTTGTGATTCTGTAATTTTATATATTTTTTTTTTCCTGTTTGTCTGTGCTAATTCTGTGCATTTGTGAGCTTTGTTGATGGCAAACTGTTTTAAAAATGTTTAATATCAAAAGCTTTGTGGAAGGAAGTAAAAATATTTTTCATTAAATAGGATCCTAAATAACGATAATTATTTTTCTGTAAACATATACACTGTATCTTTACAGATAAAAAATTGTATGATTATACAGTAAATATCTTTTTTTAGTTTTATCTTCCTTTATGCAGACGTATGAGTCTGCTTGATCTTACTTTAAGAAGATACTGTGAGACTTAAATCCCGTTAAGATAAAGATTAGTGAATGTTACAAGGTAAAAGAAATAAGAAAAGATTTTATGTCCCTATCAGAGCATTCAGGAGGACATTTAATATTAATGAGAATTCACAATGAGTCATCCTGGTTACTAATTCCATTTACTATGTGTGTTGAATTTATAACATAATTTTTGTAAAATCTGCTTTTAAGACTTGAAAGCAATGGTGCTCCATCTTGAAATGAAAGGTGTTAAATGTGGACAATCTTTCAGTTAAATAATTTCAGGAGTCAGGAGAATATACATTTCTGCTGCTTAAAAGCTTTTTCATTTTTGCGTAGCATGTGACATATTTTCCTTCCCATTTAAAGATTTGTATCTGTTCATTCTAACATTCATCTTCAGATACTAAAAGGAGAGTGCTTTACTTTCCACACAGCAGCAACTTCCTATTTATTTTCTAACGTGCTTTTAAAGAGCGGTGCTCCTCCTTCAGTCCTTCTCCTTCAGTAATCTCTTCCTTTTTTTTGCACCTGTGGTGAAATGCTTCAGAGCTTGGGGAATAAGCAGCTTGGCAGTCAGGAGTATTCAACAGTTCCTGGTTTTTGTTTTGTTTTTAAATTTATTATCACTGTGACTGTTCAACAAATCAATTTTTGGAATAGCAGCAGCTTTGCATGCTCCTCTTCCTTGTAGCTGCACCTCAAGGAAAAAGAGTACGTGCAAAACTAGCAGGGTCAGGAAGAGATGAGAGAGTGATGCTGCTTAAGCATGAATTTCCTCAAAGCAGAAACATACTGTGCATACTATACTGAAATAGCTGCTTGGTGGCTGAAAAAATTAGGCTGTGTTGCAGGTTTAGGGTAATCAGGTTTGGTGATAGAGCTTCTGTGTTTGGTCTCCTTCCCTACCATCGCACTGCATGGGAATTTGCCTGCCAAGAGGTGTCTAATTGTTTCTGCATGAAAAGCCACAAATCACTAGCTATCCTGTTTGACTTGGGGAGGTGAGCTGCATTTCATGTGGTAGGTAGCTGTTGGTATTCATCCTACTGCTCGCATTTTCCTAAGGTGAGTAGTGGCTCTGCATGCTGTTGTTCAGCCAATTGCAGGGAAATGTGATTTCAGCACTATCCTGGCAGTAGTAAATTAGATATATGTTTGGATGAATATGCTCAGTTGTGCTCCAGTGCCCAATACACTCATTATTTTTAGCCCTACTTGATCTGGAAATCATGACTCAAGTTATTGAAATTTCTGCTTGATTTTCCTGGGAAAAGAGTGCTTTTTCAGCACACCCAGAAGGAATAGGCAGGAATAGCATCAGTACACCTGTTTTTACTCCAGGATACTCTCCTTAGCCTGTTTCAATAGCTGAGGAAGTCCTTAGTCTGGGACCAAAGCAAGGAACTGCCAAACAAGCGTCTTCCAGCTCATACCC